CTGCCCCTACCCCAGGCCGCCCCCATCTTTGACAAGATCATCTTCTCCAAGATCAAGGAGAAGCTGGGCGGGCGCGTGCGCCTGGTGGTCTCGGGTGCGCCACCTCACCCCGCCGCCACCTGGCGCCGCAGGCACCCGCTCCACCCCTGCAGCAGCTGCCTGCATGAGCTGCCAGCGAGCGCCGCTGCTCCTGCGGCCCGCCGCTGCCGCTCCCCTGCTGCCTAGTCGCCTCCTGCCTGCTGCGCTACCGCCACGCGACCTCCCATCACGTCACACCGCTTCCCTTTTTTTGCCGCCTTCCTGCCTGCCCCCCTTGCAGGCGGCGCCCCGCTGTCCCGCCACGTCGAGGACTTCCTCAAGGTCGGCATGTGCTGCCGCGTGGTGCAGGTAGGGAAGGAGGGGCAGGCAGGGCTGCATGGCTGCCTGCCGGCTGCTCGCCCGCGTGTGCCCTGCTGCCACTGGGCTGCGCTGCTGCGGCCTGCTGCGGCTCGGCTGCTCCATTACGTCGGCTGGTGGGCTGGGGATGATTATGATGCGGTGGCGGGGCAAGCCGCTGGAGCCAGCAGCGAAGCGCATCCCTGGGATGCCGCGCCCCACCCTCCCTGGCACCGCAGGGCTACGGCCTGACCGAGACCTGCGCCGCCTCCTTCATCGCGGTGCCCGAGATCTCGGTGAGTGCCGTGTGCAGGCGGGCGGCGGCAGCGCCAACAGCAGCACCGCTGTCGGCATCCCTGCCTCCGGCTGGCACCCGGCACGCGTTGCGACTGTTTGGCCTGCGCGCTCGGTTTCGCACGCTACGGGCGCCGGCGCGTGCCCGCTGAGCTTCTGTGCCCCTGCCCGTGTGCCTGCCTGACCTGCCTTGCCTGCCCGGGCACACACCCGAATCCCCCCGCAGGACCACTCCGGTACCGTGGGCCCGCCCCAGCCGGTGCTGTCCTTCCGGCTGCAGGCTGTGCCAGAGATGAACTACGATCCGATGGCCACGCCGCCCAGGTGGGTGGCGGTGTGGTGCATGGTGTGTGTGGGCGTGGGTTACTTGGTGGCTGGTGTGGGTGGTGTGCTGTGGTCATGAGAAAGAGGTGGGGGCTGAGGCTGGGGGTGGGGCCCGATGCTTGCCTTGGGGTCCCATGGGCTGCTGGGGGCAGGCGCGGGAGCAAGGGACTCGGGCCGCGCAGCCCCGCTGCAAATTGGGCGCCGTTCCTCTGCTCCACGCTTTGTGTGCACGGCTACCGACGTGGCGCGGCCTGCTGCCTGCCCTGCCCTGCCCTGTGCGCAGGGGCGAGGTGATTGTCAAGGGGCCATCCGTCTTCACCGGCTACTACAAGGCGCAGGTGGGGGGTGGCGCTGGGCGGTGCGTTGGGTGCCTCCCGCTGCTGCCACTGCCCCCACGCCGCGCGCCGAAGCTGTCGGCCCCCCCGCCGAAACCGCCGCGCCTGCCTGCGCCTCTGCCCCTTACCCCCTCCGCCGCCTGCTTCTGCAGGACAAGACCGACGAGGTGTTGGAGAAGGACGGTTGGTTCCACACGGGCGACATCGGAGAGCTGACGGCCACGGGGGCGCTGCGCATCATCGACCGCGCCAAGAACATCTTCAAGCTCAGCCAGGGTGGGCGCGTGCTGCGTGTGTGTGTGTGGCGCTCGGCGCACGGCGGACGCTGCTGTGTGTGTGCTGAGCGCGGGCTGGCGTGGGTGGTGCCTGGGGGGAGGCCGGGACGGCACGGGCCGCGCCGATTGGGGGGCACGCCGCGGGGCGGCACCGGTTGCAGGCTGGCCGCCTGGGCGCTGCGGCCTGACGTGTGTCCCTCCCCTCCCCCTCCCTCTCCACGCATCCTGCCTGCCAGGGGAGTACGTAGCTGTGGAGAAGGTGGAGGGCGTGTACAAGAAGAACGCCGCGGTGGAGCAGATCTGGGTGTACGGCAACTCGTTTGAGAGCTCGGTGGTGGCGGTGGTGGTGCCCGTGGCCGCCAAGCTGCAGGTGCGCGCCCGCGCCGCGCCGCGCTGCGCTGCGCTGCGCTGTGCTGTGCTGTGCTGAGGTGAGCTGCGCTGTGCTGTGCTGTGCTGTGCCCTCCCACCCCCACCCCACCCGCAACCCGCACCTCCCCTGGGCCCCTCTCCCCCGCGGCAGGCCATCGCCGCCCATGTGGGCGCCAAGGGCAGCGTGGAGGAGCTGTGCCGCAACCCGGCGGTGAACAAGGAGCTGCTGGCGCAGCTGACCGCCACCGCCAAGGAGAGCAAGCTCAAGGTGGGAGCGGCCTGGGGGGGCAGGCCGGGCAGGCCGCCTTGCTGGCTACCCTTCGGCCGCCTGCCGCGCCGGCCGGGCCGGCCTGCGGCATGCGTTGCGCCCGCCCGCAACCCCCCGCGCCAACCTCTGCCCGACCCCACCCATCCACCCCGCCGCCGCCCCTCTGTCCGGTCCCTGCCACGCCCTCCCACTGTGCTGCGCCGCAGGGCTTTGAGCAGGTGCGCGCCATCTACCTGGAGGATCCTGCCAACGCCTTTTCTGTGGAGAACGAGCTGCTGACGCCCACCTTCAAGCTCAAGCGCGCGCCGCTGCAGAAGAAGTACCAGCCGCAGCTGGACGCCCTGTACGCCGTGCTCAAGGGCTGAGCGGCCCCCGGCATCGCAGCGGAGAGCCACGCGCGGCGCCCTCCAGGCCGCGAGCCCGAGCGCGTCGCTTTGTGCTCCCCGGGCAGTGGCCGCGCTGGATTTGCAGCGGGAGCCGCCGCCGTGGCCAGCCCTGAACAGCACGGGGCCCGATCCCCACCCCTTGCCCCACCCTTTGCAATCTCCCTCCCCTCTTTTCCACCCAAGCACACCCAGCCAGCCTTTTTTTTCCCTCTGAGGAAGAACTCCGACCAAACTCTGCAGCATAGGTTTCTCTTACATCCCCCGGGGCTCCTGGCATACCTTCATCCCGCCCCTCCCTGTCCCCTCCCTCCAGTGTGCATGCCCTTCCCTGCGTCTCCACTTCCTATCTGATCCTTCCTATTCTGCCCTGGAGCGCTGCGCTCATTCTCGCCCGCTCCTTGTTTTAAGCTTGCAAAGACACCTGAGCCAGCCTGTGCCCCCGTCTGTGCATGTGGCACCGCCGCACCAGCTCAGCACCACTGCTGTTACACCTCTGTGTATTGGCGCACCAAGCAGGCCACAGGCTGCCTGGCAGCTGCTTGTTCAGTCAGACAGCTCCGCCACAGGGGCGCCCCCGCCTCCTCCGCTCGCCTGCCGCTGCTGGGGCGGCGGCAGCACGCGCCCCGCGCGCCCGCCAAAGCTGGCGCCGCACATCCGCTTGGCCTGGCCGCGCCCACCGCGACCGCCGCCGCCGCTGTGCAGCCGCTTCTGCTGGCCGTACGTCTCCATGCCGCCCACCAGGGCCGCCGCGCCTGCGCCCTTGGGGGGCGGCTGCCGCCCGCCTCCCTGCCGGATCGCAGACACCTGCTGCTCCCACTTGCTGCGCCAGGCAGGGAGGGGGCAGGGCAGGTGTGGGGAGTGAGAGAGGTACAGCAGCGCGTGCTGTGCCATGCTCTGTGTCATGCAGTGCCCTGCCCGCCTGCCAGCTGCACCACGAGGCTGCCGGGCCCCCGCTGCCTGGGCAGGCCGGCTGCGCGCCTGAAGCCGTAGGCGGCCTCGTTGAGGGTGCGCAGCCAGGCGGCGTTCACGCCCTCCGCCGCATCCTGCGCCGCGATGTGAGGGTACACGCGCTGCGCCTGCATTGCAGGGGGCAGGGGCAGGGGCCGCCAGGGCAGCGCTGTGGCATACCAGCGGGGGCGCCGCGCCTGGCTCCTGGCATGCGCCGCACAGGCAAACCTGTCGCGATGCCCGCCGCCGCCCTTCTGCCGTCGCGCTGCACGCCACTCCCACACGCGCGCGCGCGCACACACACACAACCACACACCACCACCACCACAAGAATGCCCCCCCACACACACACAGACACCACAGCGGCGCACCACGCCACCACGCCCCACACACGTCCCACACACCCTCCCCTCCACACAGTCCCACCTTGAAGGCATCAGCCTCCCGCTGGAAGTCTGCGAGGGCAAGGCGGGAGTGCAAGGCCGCCCACTGCGCGTTGTAGGCGTCAAAGTAGCACTCATCCAGGAACAGGCCCAGCTCTGGGGCCATGGGGGTGTCGAGGTCTGTAGGGAGGAGCAGGGGCGGAGGGTGTGGTGGGCAAGGGGCGGCGAGACGCGTGTGACAGCATGCCAGTGAGTGTGTGTGTGTGTGTGTGTGTGTGTGTGTGTGTGTGTGTGTGGTTGGTGGTGGGGCTGCTGTTGTGGGTAGGTTGGGGACAGCGGGCGCTGCACGGCGGCCTGGCGCGTGAGGCAGGCAGGCATCTGCTCAGGAGGGGCCCTGGAGCGGGGGCCAGCCAGGGAGCACAGGCGAGAGTGTGCGGAGTGAGCGGGGACTGCAGGGCCTCCCCACCTGCGCTGGTCTTGAGCGCTAGGCGCAGGGCAGACTCTGGGGCCGTGCCGCGCATCACCGCCACCGCCATGCCCACCTGTGGCCGGCACGCAGGGGAGGGCTTGGCAGGGGTGACAAGCGCGAACAGCCGGTGTGCAGATGCACAGGCGCATCGAATGAGGTATTGGGTGGGGTGAGAGGCAAGGCCCAGGCGCCAGCAAGTAGGCGCAGCGCGGAGGCAGGGTGCGCGGGCCAGGCCGGCGCATGCCCCACCATCTTGCGGATCTGGTGCAGCATGAAGCTCTGCCCCACCACCACCATGCGCACCCAGCGCTGCCCGTCGATCTCAAAGGTGCCGGGGCAGCTGCGCGGGGCACGGGAGGGGTGGGGCAGGGCAGTCGGTTGCGTCCGCCAGCGCCCAGCGCAGTGGTGGCGGCCAGGGCCCAGGCTGCCCTGGCCCAGGCCGCAGCAGCAGCCACCAGCCACCAGCCACCAGCCGCCAGCCAACCATTCAAAAAAAAAACAATCGACACACACAAAAAACACCCCCCAGACTGACTTGAAGGACAGGATGTATCGCTTGACGTCGGGCGCGGAGGCGTGCTTGCGCACTGTGTAGTTGTGGAAGTTGTGTGTGCCCTGGTACTGCACAGGACCAGGGCGGGACTTGGTGGGGTGGGCAGGCAATGAGTGAGTGTGCCCCTAGGGGAGGTGGGCGGGCAATCGCGGTGTCACGCACACAGGCGGTGCGAGGCGCAGATGGGGCAGCAGGCGAGCGTGGGGTCCCGGCACCGGCGGCGAGGGAGGGCCAGCGTCGGGCGCTGTTCGCCGAGCAGCCGGCGCGGCAGGGCGGCAGGGCCAAGTGCGGCGGCAGCGGGGCGCACGTTGGTCAGTATCTGTGTGAGGCGCTGCCTGCACGACTCGTCAAACACAAACGGGGCGGCGGCGGCGGCTGGCGCGGCTGCCGGCGCCGGCTCGGTGCCGCCCGCCTCGCCTGCTGCCGCTGCCGCTGCTGCCGCTGCTGCTGCTGGCGGGGATGGCGCTGGTCCATCCGTCGCTACTGCTGCCGCCGCTGCCGCTCCCGCCTCAGCTGGAACGGAAGCCTCGGCTGGAACGGAAGCCTCGGCTGCTGCCGGCGCCTCGCCGGCCGCATCTTGCGGCGCTCCATCCTGCTGCTGCTGCTGCTGCGGTGGTTGGGGCTCAGCGGCTGCCGCCGGGGGCTCGCCCTGCCCGCCGCTGCCCTGCATGGCCGCCGCCGCCGCCGCCGCTGCGCGCTGTGCCCGGCCCTGGCCCTGGCGGGGGTCAAACGCCCACTCTGGCAGCACATACTCGTATCTGCAGGCAGGGAGGCAGGGAGTCAGGGCTGGCTTAGTGCGACTTCTGTGCGATCCCAGCCGCTGTTTGCGCAGCGACGAGCAGGCCAGGCCAGGCAGGCAGGCAGGCAGGCGCGCAGGGGCCCCGCGCCTGCGCTTGTCGCAGTGCTTGCGGGAGTCGAAGCCGTTGGTGGCGCGGGTGAAGCCAAAGACGCGGATCTGCAGTGTGTGGGTGGGGCGCCCGCGTGGGGCCGGCAGGCGAGAGGCGTGTGCAGCCACGGCAGCCGAGGGGGCAGGCGGGTAGCAGCCGTATGGGTGGTCTCGTTTGCTGCCTGCCTGCTGCTGTGCGCGACCACGACCCTCGCAACATGCGCGTGCCCACACCCGCACACCCCAAGGGGCCCGGCAGGCGGGTGCACCCGCCGCCCGCCGCCCCGCGCGCACCTGGGCCGGAAGCGCGGCGTTGATGCGCGCCACCATGCCCTCGGGTTCCAGCACCATCTTCAGGCTCACCACTTGCCCCACAGCGCTGACCCCCTTGTCCGTGCGCGCAGCGCGCATCCAGTGGGTCTGCAGGGGGTGGGGGATGCGCACGCGCGTGCCGCACCATGGCAGCGGTCGGGGCCAGGCGCCGCAAGAGCGCGTGCGGCGCGGCTGACGCCACCAGGCACCACCCCCAGGCAGCCGCTGCCGCAGCCCCGGCAGCGCGCAGTGCGCAGCGCGCCTTCCCGCTGCCCGCTGCCTGCCCCACCTTGATGAAGCCGTGGTCGTCGTTGTTGGCGTCTGAGATGGCGCCCGCCGCGTGCAGCGCCCGGAACAGGTCCTCCTCTATAGTCCTAGCCCCCGGGTTGCGCTGCATGCCCTGGTAGCCGTGCCCCACGTAGGCCAGGAACAGCGCCACCTTGCGCTTCTTGGCAGGGTTGGTGGGCGGCGGCTGCGGGGTAATGGGGGGTGGGGAACGGCACGTTGCGTGCTGGCGGCGGCGGCGGCGCCGCCGCCGGCCACCCGCCCGGTGCCGGCTGCGCCTGGCCGGCTGCATACATGCGCAAAGCCTCCCATGCTGCTCTGCGCTGCGAATGCAGAGCCACCCTGTGCCTCACGTTGCTCGGGGGCTTGCAAGCATGCGGCTCGTCCGCCGTGGCCTCCTCCTTCGCAGCATCTGTCAGTGGAACAGACTCATCGGTAGCAGCCTCAACAGGGGCTGCTCTGTCGGTAGCAGCCTCTGTTTTCTTTTCTGCTGTAGTCTCCATCGCGTCCCGAAAGTGTCGCCGAGAGCAGTGCTGCAATGCGAAGCGCGCAGCAGCAGCAGCTTGTCCTGCGGGTCAGTTCTGTCCTGCTGCGGCGGTGGCGCAAGCTGGGCAGCGCGCGCAGCGCCGGCGCCCAAACCAAGTCAGCTTGTTCTTTGCCGAGTTTATATATTTTGCATTGACGTGAAGGCATGTAGGGGGGAGTAAATTATTATGTTTATAGGATGGAAGGTCAAGGAGGTAGTGAATTGTGTAGCAGCAGGAGAGGCATGTGGGGAGTACCCTACGTAGGGAAGGGCGTGTGCGCTGCGCGGGCAGAGCGGTGGAATGGGCAAGAGCTTGGGGAAGGAATGGGTGGCGGGAGACCCGAATGAATGGATGAAAACAAATAGTCCATGTGCGTTGCTCAACAGTCGGATGATGATGTTGCCGAGCGTTGAGCCTGAGGAGCGCCGCCCCGCCCGCCGGGGGTCAGCGGAACTGCACCCCCAGGTCTCGAGCCTTCAAGTCTGTGACAGTCGCGGTCAGGGTCCTGCCCGAGTCGCTGGTGATGGAGAAGACGATGGGCTTGCCCGAGTAGACGGGCGCCGAGGAGGCGTCGTTGACCCAGAACCCCCACCTGCAGACAGGCACGCGCGCCGCCGCTCTGTCAGGCATGCTTGCGTGGCGGCAGGGGTGCGGCGGCCAGCGCGCTGCTGGCACCAAGACTCACGTGTCCAGCTTCATGGCCCTGCCGTTGATGGAGACGGACGCGATAGGCTCGGCAGAGTTGTAGATGAACAGTTCCTGCCACCACACAGACACCGACTTGG